TCATGACGCCTTTCATAGGCGAAACCCGAAGCAGAACCCGCTCACCAACCATGAAGGAAACATAGCGAACCTTCCGGTCCGCATAACTCTTCTGTCTGGACTGGGTTGTACGGAGTCGATCCTGAATCACCTTAACCTTCTCCACCGCATGCTGTACCAAATCTGTACCCAATATCCTCGCCTCACCCGGCTCGAACCATCCCACCGACGATCTGCACCGCCTACCATATAAAGCCTCATAAGGTGCCATCTGGATGCTGGACTGATAGCTGTTGTTATATGCAAACTCCGCCAACGGCAGGAATGTATCCCAAGACCCTCTAAACTCGATCACGCACGCACGGAGCATGTCCTCAAGAATCTGAATGGTGCGCTCGGACTGTCCGTCCGTCTGAGGGTGAAAAGCTATACTCATGGACACCCGAGTGCCTGCTCATGCTGAACGGTCCTCCAAAACCGTGATGTAAACTGAGGACCCCTGTCCGAAATAATAGTAACCGGGACACCGTGCAGGCGAACAATCTCCCTGATATAGATCTCTGCTAACCGCTCCGCTGAATAAGTAGTACACACTGGGATGAAATGAGCGGACTTGGTCAACCGGTCCACAATGATCCAAATGGAATCAAACTTCTTTGCCGTCAACGGAAGACCAACTATGAAATCCATGGTGATTTTCTCCCATTTCCACTCAGGTATCTCAATCTGCTGAAGTAATCCACCCGGCCTCTGGTGCTCAGCCTTCACCTGCTGGCAGTTGAGGCATCTAGCTACAAATTCCACTATGTCCTTCTTCATCCGCCTCCACCAATAATGTTGCCTCAAGTCCTGATACATCTTCGCGGCACCCGGATGGATGGAATACCGCGAGCTATGAGCCTCTGCCAATATCAACTCTCGAATATCATCAATATGGGGCACACAGATCCTCTCCTGCATCCTCAATACCCCATCCTCTCCGATAGATACATCTCTGGCATCGCCAAGCTCCACCCTACCCCTGAGATCAAGCAAATAGGGGTCATCATACTGTCGCTCCTGAATACGATCAAACAAGGAAGACCGAGAGACCACACAAGCTAGAACCTGACTGGGCTCCGAAAGGTCCAATCTCACAAACTGACTGGCTAATGCCTGAACATCCATAGCTAAAGGCCTCTCAGATGCTGGTAGATATGCCAAACTACCCAAACTCTCCGCCCGGCGACTCAAAGCATCGGTCACCATATTGGCCTTGCCCGGGTGATAAAGAATAGTGATGTCATAGTCTTTCAATAATTCCAACCACCTCCGCTGGCGCAGATTTAGATCCTTTTGCTTGAATATGTGCTGTAAACTCCGATGATCAGTATAAATCTCACAAGGCGCGCCATATAGATAGTGACGCCAGATCTTCAAGGCATGTACAATAGCAGCTAACTCAAGATCATGGACAGGATAATTCTTCTCATGTACTTTCAACTGTCTGGATGCATAGGCAATCACCCTACCGTCCTGCATCAATACCGCTCCAAGACCTATCCTCGAGGCATCACAATAGACAGTATAAGAACCCGAACCTATCGGCAGAATAAGAACTGGGGCTGTAGTCAAAGCTGTCTTCAGCTTCTGAAAGCTCGCCTCGCACTCTTCCGTCCACTGGAACGGAGCACCCTTCTGGGTCAGTCTAGTCATAGGTGTTGCAATAGAAGAGAACCCCTCAACAAATCGACGGTAATAACCCGCCAAGTCAAGAAAACTGCGAATCTCGGTCGCGGAGGAAGGTCTAGGCCAACTCTGCACTGCCTCTGCCTTCTTCGGATCAACTCGAATACCCTCGCTAGACACCACATGACCCAAGAAAGTCACAGAATCCAACTAGAACTCACATTTAGAAAACTTTGCATACAACTTCTTTTCTCTCAAAGCCTGAAGCACTGTCCTCAAGTGCTGCTCGTGCTCTTCCCGACTCCGGTAGTAAACAAGAATATCATCTATGAACACAATAACAAACGAGTAGAGATAGGGCCTGAACACACTGTGCATCAAATGCATAAATGTTGCTGGGGCATTGGTCAGCCCAAAAGACATAACTAGGAACTCGTAATGGCCATATCGAGTCCTGAATGCAGTCTTCGGGATATCCGGCTCCCGAATCTTCAACTGATGGTACCTGAGCGCAAATCAATCTTAGAAAACACCAGAGCGCCCTGAAGCTGGTCAAAGAGGTCATCAATACGAGGCAAAGGATAGCAGTTCTTCACTGTAACCTTATTCAGCTGACGATAATCGATGCACATACGCATAGAACCATCCTTTTTCTTCACAAACAAGACAGGAGCACCCCATGGTGAAACACTAGGGCGAATGAAACCCTTATCAAGTAACTCCTGTAACTGCTCCTTCAACTCCTTCAACTCAGGATGAGCCATACGGTAAGGAGGAATAGATATAGGCTGAGTGCCTGGCAATAGATCAATACCAAAATCAATGTCCCGATCGAGCGGCATGCCCGGAAGATCAGCTGGGAACACATCGAGATAATCCTGTACCACTGGAACAGAATCAACAGAAGGGGTATCAACACTGACATCTCTAACATAAGCCAAATACGCGGCACACCCCTTTTCAACCATACGTTGAGCTTTTAGAAAGGATATAACTCTACTGGGAGTGTGATCAACAGTACCACTCCACTCAATACGAGGAATACCTGGCATAGCCAGCGTCACGGTCTTAGCGTGACAATCAAGAATAGCAAAATGGGGCGTCAACCAGTGCATGCCCAAGATAATATCAAAATCCACCATATGGAGTAATAAAAGATCAGCTCTGGTCTCAAAACCACGAATAGTAACCAAACACGACCGATAAACGCGGTCCACAACAAGGGAATCTCCCACAGGAGTATAAACATAAATAGGAGAACTCAAGGAATCCCGAGCTACGCCCAAATATGGAGCAAAGTAAGAAGACACATATGAATAAGTAGAGCCTGGATCAAATAGAACCGATGCATCTCGGTGACAAACCAGAATAATACCTGTAATGACAGAATCGGAGGCGACAGCCTCGGTGCGGGCAGGCATAGCATAATAACGGGCCTGGCCTCCCCCTCGAGGGCGACCTCTACCTCCGCTACCCCCGCCTCTAGCCGGTTGGGCAGGTGGGGTAGCAGCTGGAGCCGGAACCATGGCCTGGGAACTCTGAGGAGCATGCTGAGGCTGTGGGGTCTGAGAAGATACACCTCTACCCAATCTGGGACAATCCCTAACCATATGGCGCAAATCACCACACTCATAGCAAGCTCTGGGAGGGCGTGGCGGCTGAGACTGACTGGGCCCTCCCCTGCTAGACTGTCCTCTGTGAGCACCCCGTGCAGGGGGCGCGCTAGAAACTGGAGGTGCATAATAGGGCTCCTGAGGTCTGGGAGGAGCTGAAGTGCCACTGGCTGAAGGAAGTGCTGAGTGAATTGGGCGACCCATATAGCCCCGACCGTGGTGACCTGCTGCTGGAGTCCGGGTGCCAGAATAGCGACCCGACTCTCATAGCCTCCCTCTCCTCCCGGTCTCTGGCGTGTAGACCCTCAATCCTCCGAGCAATGTTCACCACCTGCTGATACGGAATATCTATCTCAAGCTCTCGGGCCATGCTGGACCTGATAGGAGGGATAAGGCCCTCTATAAACCTGCGAACCCTCTCTCGAACTGTGGCAACCAAAGCAGGTGCATGCCTCGCCAACCTGGTATAGCGGATAGCATACTCAGAAACTGACATAGTACCCTGACGTAAGTGCTCAAACTCCGCACGCCAAGCATCTCTGAGACTCTGAGGAACGAACTCTTTCTCAAACATAGCAGAAAACTGTGCCCAAGTCAAGGATGCAGCCTGATCCGGACTGGACAGCTCAAATGTACGCCACCAATCATATGCAGCTCCCCGAAGCTGGAAAGTAGCAAAAGAGACCCCCGCTCGTGGCAGTAATACCCATGGTGCGAAAGATGCGGTGACAATCCTCCAAATACTCTAAGGCATCCTCCGTGGCCAATCCACTGAATACCGGAGGGTCATATTTCTTAAACCTCTCCAACCTCCTCTGCTCATCCTCTGAGGCAGGTATCTCATCCCCCGGCTGTATCGGTGCGGCAGGCTGAACATGAATAGCACCAGGAGCCTGATCAACATGCACTCGCTGCTCTGGAGTGCGGGCGGCGGGAATCTGTGCTCCTCCCCCGGCCTAGGAAGCAGCTGCAGAAAGGGGTAGCAGCCCTGCCTGAGATAATGCAGTGTAGGCACTCATAAACTGAGCCAGTGCCTC